ATTTTTTTCATTTATCCCTCCTTTATTTAACTATATCCTGTATCATAACATTTTCCCCCTAATAATAAAGACTTTAACTGTATCTAACTTAGTTCTTTTTTATTAACCTTAGTTAGAAGAACATCCACAGTAATGAAAGAGGAGAATTTAAGTCCATAGGTTACAAAGAGTAATAAATGAAAAAAATAGAAGAAAACTTAATCCATTCATTTTTAAAGCTTGCATAAATTCCATTCATGAAGATAGCATTTAAAAAGTAAGATAACCCACTGTCCAAAAGCATTCCAAATTTAATTCCACCGCTTATGTCTTCTGTTCTCCAATTTAAATTAATTGTAAGTTTTTTATAGGCAATCTCTTTTTAAAACGGTAAAAATTCCTCACCAGCTGGAAACACTTTCTCTTTCCATATCCTTCGATTTTGGAGCGGCCCCGACTTCATCAGCTTAATGGCTAGATTTTTTTGTTTCCGGCTTGAAGAACTTCTCTTGGATCGATCAGGGACTTTGCGATGTCCCTGAGATCAGCATGATGTTTTCTTCCTGTTCACTGTCTCTGTGGGACGGTTTAGGTCCGTTTGGACCACCCAATGGCAAATGTATCGATGACAATCTCAGAGCATTGAGATTGCACATCGTCATGACATTGGCTTCTCCTCTCCAGTCTTTACCAGATTATTGAGAATCTAGAGGTTATATTTCTTCTAAAAATATAAGAACACCAGAAAAACCTTGAAGGAGCAATGCTTTCCTCTGGATTTCAGGACAACTTTAACACAGTGGTCGTGAATTGATTCTAGATTGGGTGAAAAAGAAATACAGATGGAGTTTTTCCATGAAAAGGAAGTTTTTTAGGCATTACTGCAATTGCTTTACAATTAAAATATGACAGACATATTTTTATAAATTGCAGGATACATTGCTTTAGTGAAATGCAATAGGGAAGAACCAATGCATAGGTATCCAATAGAGATATTCAGTAAGTCAGCCCAATTTCTTTTATTTACCTTTCTAGTGAAGCCATTCTCTCCCTTCAGTGTCAAAGCTGAGATTACAGCGGACACTGGGCAACTGAATGTGAGTTGGAAGAACCCTGAACTTCCAAAGAATGACCTTCAGTTTCAAGTTAGATATGCGACTAGTGGAGAAGACATTAATTGGAAGGTATGTTCTGTTTTAATGCAAACTAATTAATGCTTTACTGAGGATTCTTCCGTTAGTTGTATTAGTGTCTGGTTCATCTTGGGAGGAAAAAGAACAATTTTGGTGTGTGCTTTTTTTCTAGAATATGTAACAGATATCCAATCTTGGCTTTAACCACTCAGAAATTATTTTATTATTATTGGTTAGGTTTTTTTTGTTTTTTTTATAGATTCAGGAAGTTTTGGCTGTATCGGTTACCTCTTTGAGTATTGCTGTACAAGATCCCTGTATAGTTTACATTATTCAGGTGCGCTGCAGGATGAGTGAAGGAATTGGCTATTGGAGTGATTGGAGCAGATCTGCTTATACAGTTGTTAAGGATATCAAAGGTCAGTATGTTACTTATATGCTTTTGGCTATTTTCATTTCGAACAAGTTGCATGTAAACAATTTGAAATATGTGTTATTTTTTCAGCTCCTTTGCGAGGACCTGAATTCTGGAGAGTTATTAATGAAGATCCCATTATGAACCAGAAAAATGTCACTTTGCTTTGGAAGGTAATTCTGAGAATAAGATGCTCAACATCTAATTTTTTGTAATGTTCTATTATTCCTTACAGTTAGATATATGAAACTAGCTAAAAGTGCAATTCCTTTACTGTTAATGTTGGTGGGGTAATAGTCAATATGGCTTTCTCTTTCAATTAGTAAAAATATAATGAAGATATTTTATATATTGTCCTGATTGACATAATTCTTAACATATATTAATCAAGAACCTTTTTTTAAAATAGAAAAGGGGATGTTTTTAAAAATTTGAAGTTTCACAATGTAATTGTTATTATTTACATGCAACTTTCAGAAGTATACCTTTTTCCAGGACTATTTTTTGATTAAGCTTTGATTCAGGAAAAAATAAACCCTAGTAGACTTTAATGCTGGAAGTTGCCTTGAAACAGAATTTCTAAATTTGTTTTCAAAAGAGTTAAAGGTAGATTTTTTTGCATTTCTATTTGTGATAGGGATAATTCAGGTTTGCATTGCCTTTCAGGTATACATAATCCAAACATTTTTTTTAATTATCAAAATCAGTGCATTAGCAAATTTATAGCATGATTCTTAAAACAACCTTTTAAAAACAGGTTTAACAACCTTTAAAACAACCTTTTAAAACAACCTTTTAAAAACAGATACAACCGTACTTGCAATGTCAACAGTTAATGCAAATAAAACCTAAAGCCAAACAGTTCTTCCTTCTCTTTGCAATATTCTACATGATTTCAAAACTTGCTCCAAAGGATTCCCAGGTCTAAAGATTAGATCCTGAGGATACATGGGCTGTTGCAGAGAAGGAGAGAATATTCTCTTGTATGAGCAGAAGTTTGTTTCCATGCCACTGGATTCTACCCAATGCCTTAAACCAAAAACAGTCTGTCTGTCTAAACTAACAAGTGTTTCCAATCAGAATTCTTAGAAATATGGAACCAGCACAGATAGGTTACTAAACTAGAAATCCATCTAATTGCTTTCACACTTTAAAAACTTGCAGTGCACTTTGAAAAAAATCAGTTTAAAATTCTTGATTTCTAAGCAAATTAGTTTAATTTCTGACCTAATTGGCTACATAAGACTGTGAAAGTTAACATTTGTAGGAATTGAAACAAATATCTTCTCCTGTATGATTATTATTTTAAATCTAAACTTTAATTTCAACCACAATACAAAATATCTAATATATATGTATCTTTTTACAGCCACTGATGAAGAATCTTTCTTTATGTAGCGTTCTGGACTATGTAGTAGAACATAATACCTCAGAAAATATTGTTTGGTCTGACTATATAGAAAATGACACTACTTACACTTTTTCATGGTCTGGAGATACACATTCTGTTAAAATTCTAGCAATCAACTCAATTGGACCTTCCTCTGTGAATTTTATTTTAACTCTTTCACAACAAATAAGCACAGGTAAGAGCAACCATTTTAGATTCTTGCTCCCACATAACTCTTTTAATGTATGACTATACCTTTAATAAAGAAGGTATTTAGAAACTATTAATCTTTTGGAAGGTCCTCCCTTCCAAAAAGAGGGTAGTAGTATTTCCAACCAAAATCTTGAATACATTTATTTTTATTTTTTTGCATGCTGGAATGCTGATACATGTACTGTATATAAAATAGCCAAAATATATGGACAGTGTTCTTGTTAAAATTATGCAGTGATCTGCATTTTCCTCAGCCAAGGACCATATGTCACTTTTGGATGGCATGCAGAAGCCACAGTCCAACATTGTGTGCAAAGTGACAATGGAGTCATAATACATTAAAAGAATGAATGCAGTTGGATGATAAAGTTTTTATCACTTTATCAAGCAATGCAGATATTAGGCATTTTATTTGATTGTCAAATTGTACCCATCATTTTGACATGTTTGATTTTCTTCTCTCCACTGATGCCCTCCAGAATAGTGGAGGAGGCAAAGCGAGATCTACATTTTATTTATGAAATTATATTTATATTTAATAAATATTAAATATTGTTGACTATAGTCTCTAATTATGTTTTAATACCATTTCATTACAAAAAACAATGAAGTATAGCTATTTGTACATGTGGCCAGGGAGATTAAAGGTTTGCTGATCTAAATTTGATATTTTTTTATCCAAATAAATTTACTTGTATTATACATGCAAATTAAACTTGTTTCTCCTAATTGGAAATCTAGTAATATTATTCTTTTCTTTACTTATGGAGTTTACAATATTTCTAATCTACAAAGTAAAATGAAGTAATTTTGTATTTTCTTTTTAAGAGAGTATCAGTGAATTCTTTCTAATTTTCTATCTGATTACCATTTTTTGTTTCTTTCTTGATTGATTTGAGTTAGTAAACATTGTGCAGTCTCTGAATATTTACCCAATGAACAGCAGTTGTGTAATAATGTCCTGGATACTTTTGCCTATGGATTATGTGGTTACATCCTTTGTAATTGAATGGACCAATCTAAATGGAGAAGAACAAATTAAATGGATAACAGCTCCTCCTAATGTTAGGAGGTATCATATATTTGGTGAGTTTGAATATGAAAATATATGTTTCAGTGGGTTTTTTTTTGTTTTGTTGTTACAACAATACTTACGTTGGAAGAAAAAAATTACCTGGACATGAGGTAAAACATAGAAGGATAAGGAATGTTGTGTGTATATTGAAAACCAATTAAAATGAAAATTCCTGAAAAGGTCATGTTAAGTCATATTTAATATAATTGCATTGATTTTTTTAAAATAAAAAATTTAAAAACCTTCCTTCCCTAATTTTTTTTGCAACATTATTTTGCAATTATTGGGGAACCATATATAAGAAGTTAAACAATTGCGGATTGCCTCAACTTAAATTATGGTAGATGAACAAGAAGAGTATTATTGTTATATGTGGTAACATTTTATTTGTGATTTTGAGAAGCTATTTGTAGCTCTCCAATGTCAAAATAATGGAATATAGAAAAGTGCCAGTTTTCCAAACTTGTAAGTCTCAAACTGGTGCTTGACTTTCCTTAACTCTGAGGCTTTATGCAACTGTCTCTTCTATGAATCTGACTGATTTTGAGTTGCTGGTACTTGTACATTAAACATTATTGTTTCATTCCAGATAACTTCGTACTCATTGAGAAATACAGATTTAGTTTATATCCGGTCATTAATGAAGGAGTCACAAAACCTGCAATAACAGAAGGATTTTCCAAAGGTGATTTTAGTGAACTGTTATCTTAGAACTTCTTAAATAGTAATGGGAATACCAATAATACTAGGATATAACATAAACATAACATAAATGAGTGTGTTTTAAAAACTTTTTTACAGAGTTTAACAGAATATATTTATATTCCAGTTATGTTTATATTTAGTATTTATCTAAATTGCTTATCTGTCATATCTGCCATATGTCCTTCAGTTAAACCAGGGGTGGGTTTCAAAAATTGTTCGAACCTACTCTGTGGGCGTGGCCTCCTTTGTGGGAGTGGCTTGCTGCCCATGTGACCGGATGGGAGGGGCTTGCCCCCCATGTGACCGGGTGGGAGTGACCTGCCACCCATGTGACC